CCCTGCTGGCCACGGGGCTGGGGATGCAGCCCAGGGGTGGGGGGTTTCTGGGCTGCCAGAGCATGTTGTTGGGGCCTGTGGAGCTTCTCACCCACCAACACCCCCAAGTTCTTCTCCTCAGGGCTGGGTGAAGGCTTCCTCTGGGGCTCAGTGAGGATGCAGAATGCCCCCCTCACCCTGCTGCCCACGGGGCTGGGAATGCAGCCCAGGGGTGGGGGGTTTGTGGAGCTTCTCACCCACCAACACCCCCAAGTCCTTCTCCTCAGGGCTGCTCTCCAGCAGGGCTGGGTGAAGGCTTCCTCCAGGGCTCGGTGAGGAAGAGGAGGGTGCCCTGAGCTGCTGCAGCCCGGGTGGTGCGGAGGGAGGGAGGATGACACCCCAAATCTGTGTTTCCCGGGGTGCAGGTGGCTGTTGTGGGGGATTAGAGGGAAGATCTGAGCCAAACCAAGCTCCTCTCCCCAGCCCCATCCCCTTGCCTCACAGAGGGGTGAGGAAGGGCCACCATGGCCTCTGGGCCACAGCTGGACACCGGTGGCACATGTCCCTCTCTCCCCGTGTCCCTGCCACTGTGGGGAAGGGCTGTGTGGTAGCCCCTTTATGGGGGCCACCTTTGGGGACCTGCTGGAGCCCCCAGGGAGGGGAGCAGCAGGTTCTCCTGTGACAGCTCAACCTACAGCAGCTCCTCTGCACCCCCATGTCCCCCCCGGCCACAGCACGGGCAGGAGGGGTCACCCAGGTCCCCCATGGCCAGGAGGGGACTTGGCCAAATCCTCTCCCCTCCCAGCAAACGCCCCAGGACAGCTCAGGGGTGCGAGGGCTGGAGATGGAAACGCTGGAGCTGCAGAGCTCAACAACACCCGAGGGCTCCTATCTCCTAGGAAAGAGTTTGGGAAAACACCTTTGGGGATTAAAATGGGAATTTGGATGCCCAGGGGAGGCTCCAGAGCTGCCTCAGAGACCAGAGACTCCCCAGCCCTATTGCCGGGGGGCTCAAGTGAGGAGACAGACAGACTGACAGACACACAGACACAGAGCAGGACACAGGAGATGGTGAGGATCCCGTGTGCCTCCTACAATCCCAGCTCACTCCTTTATCAACCACTAATTGTGACTGCTCCTGCCTGATTTCCACCCTTTCCCCCTTTTGGCTCCGACAGGCTCCTGCCAGAGGGCAGGGATCAAACTCCCTCCCGGGCGGGGGAAAAGCCACGCAGCAGCTCAGATAATACTAATAAAGTCCTTTTGAGTACAAATATTCCACCAGGAACTGGCAGAACGCATGATGCGAGCACGATGGCACCAAGCAAATGCATTAACAACAGAAAACCTCACTGGATTATGACCTTTTAACCACTGGCAAGAGGGAACACACCTCCACGCCTGGAGTTTAAGAACAAAACCACGGAGCAGCCGCTTTAATTGTGCTCAGGACTGGACCTGAGGCGAAAAGACCAGCAGCAGAGGTGAAGAATTAACTTGCTGCCACCTCTTGCCACAGGGGGCTCAAAGCCTGGAGGGTTTAGGGGACAACGGGGGACGCTGCAGCCCACGGACCCCAAAAAGGCAGGTCCAGCTTTACCCAGAGACCCTGGGCTGCGTGGCGGCAGCACGGAAAACAAAGAACAGGAGTGAAATAAGTATTGCTGGAAGTAATTTTCACTGGCTTGCACATTCTCCCAGTAATATTCACTTTAGGAAGGTAAAACTGCGCGTAGGTTAAAGCTGAAATGTGTGTCGTGACCTAAATCCGTCGGGGAAGAGGCCGCGGTCGCTGTCGCTGCCACATCCCGGAGAAGACTCCAGAGACCTTCCCTCCAGTCCACGTCCAAAGGACGACAAGACTCCGTTTGGTCCTTGTCTCAAAGCTCGGTGTATTCTATCAGACATGAGTTAACATTACAGCAATGGACTCTACGGGGAATAAATAGATTTGTCATCTTCTAACAGTTCTCCTGCGCAGCGCGACGCTGGGAAGGGCTGAGGGGCCTCCAGGCCTGGTTTGGGTAAGAGGCAGCCACCGGCGTGAGGACACACCGCGTCTCCAGCCTCGGGACATCTCAGCTCGGGGCCAACGTGGACCAGGAGAAGGAGGAGAATCCTCACTGGTATTGTCTGTAGTCACTGGTGAACTGAGAGGGCTGCAGCTGGGAGGGGTCTTCTGAAAACTGAGGGCCTGGGAAGAAG